TCATCAGGGCATGATCCCGTAGTCCAGATCACTTACAAAGATATTAAACAGTGTTGGGCCCAATATCAGTCCCTGGGCGACCCAGCTTGTGACAGGTTGCCAATTTGAAAAGGAGCTATTTACCAGCACCCCCTGGGTGCGGCGTGTCAGCCAGTTTCCCACCCACCGCACAGACCACTTGTCTAATCTGTAACCCATCAGTTTCTCTAGGAGGAGGCTGTGGGAAACTGTACTGAAAGCCTTGGAGAAATCCAGGTAGACAATGTCCACCGCTCGCCCCACATCAACCGAGCAGGTTACTTTGTCATAGAAGGTGATCAGGTTTGTCAAGCATGATTTGCCCTTGGTGAGTCCATGCTGGCTTCTCCCAGACACATGCTTCATTTGACTTGTGATAGCCCCCAGGAGGATTCGTTCCATAACTTTCCCAGGGACTGAAGTAAGACTGATGGGCCTGTAATTTCCTGGATCCTCCTTTAAGCCCTTGTTGTAGGTGGGGGGGTGACATTAGCCTTCTTCCAGTCTTCTGGAATGTTGCCTGATGTTCATGACTTCTCAAATATTATGGAGAGCGGTCTCACAACGACATCAGCCAGCTTTCTTAACACCCTTGTGTGGATATTTTTGGGGCCCATCGATTTGTAGGGGTCAAGCTCCTTTAATAGTTCACATACTAACGCTTCCTTCACTGACGGTGGGTCTGTGTTTGCATCAACCTGGGGCCCAAGAGTGCTGGTAAAGACAGAGATGAAGAAAGTGTTGAGAACCTCTGCCTTTTCAGCTTTCTTGGTGACCGCCCCACCCACACCCCTTATCTTTACCAAGTTTCATCTCTCGCAATTGTTCATGCTTCCCTCAATCTTTGTTTCGGGGGTTACAAGCCATCTCCTACAATTGTTCTTCTAACAAATGTCTGGGTAGTTGAAATCACCCACAAGAACCTGCTTCTGTTGACCCAAAGCTTGCTTAAGTGACCCAAATATTGCTTCGTTGGCCTTATCATCTTGGTTTGGAGGTCGGTAGCAGATGCCTACTGCAAGATCCCCATTGGAGACAACCCCTCTCATCCTGACCCAGAGGCATTTGATAGGGCTTCCACAATCACTGTCGCTGACTTCTATACATTCAAGGTTCTCCTTAGCATAGAGGGCAACTCCTCCTCCTCCTCTTCTTCCCTGCCTGTCTTTACAAAACAGCCTATAGCCATCCATCACAATCCTCCAGTCATGTGAGTTGTCCCACCATGTTTCAGTTATTCCTGTGATATCATAACTTTCTGACTGGGTACGGAGCTCCAGTTCCTCCTGTTTGTTCCCCAGGCTGTGTACATTGGTATACATACACTTGAGGTAGTTGGTCTTCTGGTTCTCATCCTGGGAGGCAGCTAAGGAATATTTGTCGCAGCTCTGGTTGGCCTGGCTCATTCCCCAGTTGGTTGCAATGGCGTGAGTGTTGCCACTTTGGACCCCAGACCTCAAGTCCTTCAGTTTAGGGCTCACCTCACCAAGCTGGCCAGCCTGCTGTCAAAGATTCCCTTGCCTCTTCTAGACAGGTGGATCCCATCCCTCCCTAATAGGCTATTGTCATCGAAGAATGTCTTGTTGTCATAAAAGCCAAAACCCTCACAATGGCCATGAAGCCAGAAGTTGATTTGCATTATATGTCTATTTCTGGCTGCACACTTTCCTCTAAGCGGTAAAATGGAAGAAAAGAACTTGGGCACCAATACTTTTCACTTGCACCCCCAGGGCTTTGTAGTCTTCCTTGATTCTGCCCAGGTTCCGGCTTGCAGTGTCATTCGTGCCCACGTAAAGGAGTAGCAATGGATAGTAGCCTGTGCTCTTGACAAGTTGAGGTACCCCCTCAGCAGCATCTCAGACCTTTGCTCCCAGAAGGCAGCACACCCCTCGTGACTCCCTGTCAGTCCGGCAGATGGGCGCCTCAGTGACCCGTAACAGAGAGTCACCCACTATGAGCACCCGTCGTTTCTTTTTGTGGTATCCGCTGTGTGCTGCTGGTGTAGTTCCTCCTTGCAGGCCTTGCTTGTGGGTGTCCGCAGCTGTTAAAGCTTCCTATCTGGTTATGGCTGGAATGCTGGAGGGCGGGAGCTGAAGCAGGGTCCTGCTTTTGTGGGTCATCAGGGTCCAAGGTGCCTCATTCTCTGTGGTGTCCGCCACAGGAGCATGGCTCTGAAACCACTTAATGATCTCCGTCTCGTCCCCTCTAATACTGCAAAGAATACAAGTATTATACAAGTAGTATAATACTCTGTAGTATAATAATAATTATAGTAGTATAATGCTCTCCACCTCTGCCATCTGAATGTAATTTCTACCCACTGATTTCCACCCCATCTTTTCCTTGCTCTGTGGCTCAATGTGCTTTGGTCCAGTTCCTCTGTCCTTTACAGGAAAGGTAAGCATTGATATTGGGTGGGATCCTGCAATAGGTACTCCAAGCAGCACGGTCTGGGAACTAGGAGTAGCTGCTGCACACAGTGACAAGTCATTACCCTTGAGCTTATCATCAGTTGCTGCTTATGGGGATGCATACTACATCAGCATTTTTAAGCCTGGACCACAAAATAGGCATCTGCAGGCAAGTGGTTTCTGGTGATTATCTGCTTGTGTAGAGGTACTGGTCTGAGCCATGGCTCAGTAGCACGGACCAGCCTATTCACAGGCAGTCACCGTAGGACTTGCTGCTCCACCTACACACATGCTGGAGTGGTTTGCGTATGGCAGAAAGAGCGACTTCTGTTATAGGCTGCGATATTCAAAATAGCCAATCTGTGTCAAGTTTCTGTACCTTGAACTAGTCATGGAGGAGAAAAGCTATGTTGGTGCCAGTTCTGTAGCTGATAAACAGCACATTTCTGTAACAAACCTCCAGAGCTGGCTAGTACATGTTAAAAGTTCAATGTGTCAAACAAATTATTAATTTGCTGGAGATAAGATGCAGACAGACTACTTATATAAGCTGCACACAACAGCATTCATGCTTTTTGCGGTATGAAGCTGCTACTGCTGGCCAGCAATAAACGTCTTACAGCAGCTGCACCACCACACAGCAGCAGCTCTGGTAATTCAGTCATTCAGCTATGAACACTGCTATACTCATTGCTGAAAAGGATTGTTTTCTCTGTGAAATGCTGCTTGTCTTTCTCTTGCACTGTTAAGTAGACTGATAGCTAGTCTAGCTTGTTTCACTTGGAATGTCCTTCTATGTTCATACCAACTACACCGTTTGTTATATTATGTACAAACACACAAACATTAAGTGGTTATGTACAGTATAACCTATAAGCCTCCAATTCTTAAAACGGTTCTTAGTAAAAACAACATGCTGAAAATAAAGATCTTCAGATTACTTTGATTTGCCAACAGCCTAGTAAGAACTTGGAATTTTAGTATCATAGAATCATGGAATGGTTTGGGTTGAACCTTTAAAGATCATCTAGTTCCAACCCACCTGCTGTGGGCAGGGACATCTCCCACTAGATGAGGTTGCTCAACTGTATGAATTAAGACCTTTGCCTTTCTTCCACATATATATTAATTTCCCTGAAATATTTTAATAGGAACAATTAGCATAAAATATACTGCCTTTTATAACTAGTATAACTATAGTGAAAATGACTGCAAAAGTTACATATTTGTTTGCTATTTAATATCATAATATTCAAGTAAGACTAACTTCAAATTCTGAATAGAAGAATTCTCATCAGGCTGCTGAATACATGTAAATTTCAGCTTATTTTGGATAATGAATGATGTAAATGGAAAGGAGGCATTGCGAAGTCATAAATGGTTGACTTACATTATTGCTTGAAATAGCGTTATGTAACCTAATGCTGTAAATTCCACAACAGGATTACAGAAAATGATGACATCGATATGTTAGCAAAGGTAACCGACTGTCTTCCTAGATATGTAGCCAAGGGAGTTGCTATGGCTGCTTTCTACTTGGCTAGATGCCTCCAGCTTGGCCTAGGTGTGCAGCAAGATCAAGCCGCTGCTAAAAAATGCTATTCTAAGGTAAGTTGAGAAGTCTTACAGGCTAGTTCATATCTCACGAAATTGTGTGATACCTTGGATTTGAGTCTTTAACACTTGCTGTCTGGTTAAAGACTCCAACATTATTTATGTTTAAAAAAAAATCTGTGCAAGAAAATGATAAAAGTAAAATAGAAGTATATTGAAAGCTACTGAAAATAGTCCTGAAAGGATACTACCTGTCCACCTGCTTAAGCAAACAACGCGTTCTGCCAAACAACAACAAAAAAATCTGTGATAATCACCACAGCAAAGAGCTTGGTACCTTGCAAGATAAATTAGCTAAACAATTTGAATAATTTTATCCCCAATTAATTTTCTGTCTGTCATTCTCTCAAACTGAAAAATCGTAACTTTTCCTTAACTTTAGATTCTCTAACAATCACAGTCCTCATTAACAATACTTAAATCAGTCATAACTGGTTGCTAAAAATGTAAACATAAAAACAAGCATGACAATAGCTGAGGATCTACTGCTACTGATACATAGGGAAAAAACAGGTCACATTTTTTGAAAGTTCTGAAGTAAGATTTATTGCTTGAGGAAAAAGATCGATAACAGCTTCTAGAAGATGAATCCACTAAATAGTATCAGTGGTACCAAAAGGTACAGTCAAGGCAAGATGATTATGCCAACTGTAGGGAGTGTAGCAAGATTGGATCTGTGCGTCAGAGAGACCTGATGATTTCTGGGCATGTAGAGACCATTTGTTTCCGCAAGTAGAATACTTTGCACCAAGCTGGACCTCAGTCCAAATAAATGGAGAGTAATGTAAATGATAAATTATCAAATAACAATTTTTGTGGCTCCTTATTCAAGGAAGCCACTGATACAAGAAGCCTAGCAGAGCAAGTGAACCTCTGAATACAGACATTTTAAACATTTTGTTCTCCTGCTGTCAAAGTGTTATAGAGGATAGGATGAGGAGGAGATCAGGACAGGAATATAAGCTGGGGTGTTAAGAACACTGTAGCCAGTAGTCCTAGGTAAGTCTTAAGGCATGGAAGAGGCCCATGAGGATTAAGTTGCTGCATGGCTTTGTCTGAGTACAGCCCTTCCCACTGTCTTCCATCAGGTCTAGTGTAACCACCACAACTGAAAGAAAATGACAACTTTCACTCATCGTTCACTAGCTGTACATCTGAGACTGGAATGTCACTAGCTTCTTAGTGTATAGAGAGAGATCATTTCTAGTGACTGGTGCCAATGCATCTCTGCATCAACAACAAAAGAGAAGGAACAAAAAATAAACAAGGAAGCTATCTGACGCAGTAACTTTAGAACAAGAGTTGTGGGTGTGTTCAGTTTCTTTTGTACCTGCAAAATAAGTCTCATGTTAACTGTACAATTATACCCCCTTAAAATTAAAGTCATGTTTGCTTTTTTAATTAACTGCTTAGCTGTGGTTTTGGCCTACTGTTCTTAGACCCAGTCAGTTTTGAAAGAGGTGAGAAAGAGAAGACAGGCATCCCAGAGGGTACTGAAACACACGATGGAAGTGAGTGTAACTGATCTAGGCTGTAAGCAGATGTCTATTTCTGAGTGTGGTACCAGCGCATACCATACCAACAAACAGAATAAAAAAAAATAATAAAACCAAGCCTAACACTATAGTCAAGTATGCTTACTTTAAATACTGCATTCTTCTCACATGGCATCAGAAACAGGGATTTAAAGCTGAATATATTAACTCTTTAATATTTTAACAAGTTGATTACCTCAGGTAATGTCAACAAAACTTAAAGACCTTATTAATGTTATATTGACAATACACAATTTTATTTTAGCTATAAACTAGAACTCCCTATTCTTTGTTTTCAAAGGCCTGCCTTCTGGATCCTGGCGTTGCTTCTGACCTTGAACTGGCAGCTAATCTTGGGAGAATTTAGTGCTTCCTTTAACCGTGACTGGTATATACATATATTTCCTACAATAAACCATCTTTAAACTCCAGCAATTGTAGACTGTTCATCACTTACTGCTTGCTTTTCAGCTTTCTATAAATTATTATTTAAAGCAATATACTGATTCTTTTTTATCTAAAAAAAAAAAAAAAAGAGAAAGCAGAAAGCTCACACTCTTCCTTTAACTGAGATGAGGCAGACTTTTAAAAATGGTGTTGAAGACTTCAGGTTTATTAAGGACATTTTACTGGGACAGATGTCCTGTGTTTTCTTCATGTCATACAGCACATGAATCAAACCAAAACCAAACAAAAATGGTTGTTTCCTTTTCTGCATTTTTAGTATTTAAACATTAAATTTTCATATTCTGAAAAGCTAGACCCCAAAATTGTCGTTTTCACATAAAACCCATTCACAAGTCATGACTATTTTTAAATCTTACTTTTGTTAGTGGTGTGTATACTTTCTGTCACATGCTTGGTTAATGCATCTAGATCTACTTATGTGTCTTAACACATTTTACTCTTAGACTGCAGAGATTCAAAGTTGGAAATTGGTCTGTATGACACTAAGCTTTGCAGTTCAAACCGTGTCAACTTCTAAAACTAGAAAATGCTACTTAAAGAACTATGGAAAAAAAAAAACCATTCGTATGGAAACATTCAATGTGTGTGTCCTCTGCATGAGGCCTGTTTTCCTCCATCATTCTTCATACTGCATTTACACTGCCCCTGTTTGTACCAGAAATAGTTGAAAACCTGTTGGCTAGGAGTGTGTACGCCTGAGCAATGTTATGCTGAATCTTTTACCAAAAGATACTTTGATTAACCACTAGTAAATTTTACTGATTGCTATGGTAAGCTTGCACACTTCTAAATACCTATTTACTTGTAACAATTTCTATGTGCAGAATTTGGCTTGCTCTTTAGGACTGTGCTGTGACTTGAAAACTTTTTTGAAACTGTTGGAGCAGAAGGCTAGACATTAGTAAAAACATTGATTTAAATATAGCGTAGGGATTTTATGTACCTTACAATATAGCCAGTCTTAACTGCAAGCAGTTTTTCTAAGAGCACAACTGTACTGAATTTAAAAGAAAGTAATGAGTGTCACCTAGGGATTTTTGATGATGTTTAATTATTTAGATGTGCATTAAGACCATATTTACATATTTTTACATAAATTAAAAAAAACACTGAAGACATTGTTTTCTTTCCTTGTATAAAATAAGGGAAAGATCTTAAGGTTGTTTGAAATTGGGGTATTTGAATAAAACAGCCCTGAGTAATATCAGGGAAGTGATTAGAATGGTTTAATTAAATGTCTGCTTAATCATTCATAGAAGCAATTCATAAGCACTAATCTCTGAACTAACATTTAACACAGGCATTCTGTTAGGACATACCAGTTTATAATACATATTTTCGACACAGACTTCAGAGTAACGTAAATATTCCTTACGAAACTAGTGCTGTCAAACTCATTCATTAGTTGTCAGTACAGCCTCATTATCAAGTACTGCAATCCAGTTGTGTTATTTATTGCTTACAAATGCTTCAAACTACGGGAAATCTTTGGTAAAAATAAACTGATAAAATTTTCACAATAGCTTTACATGTAGTATTGCACGACAAGGCTTTTTCAATACACAAGAAAAAAGGAATGCTCAAATCCTCAGTGAGGAGATTAGAACTGTACAACATTCATTAGTTTACCACTATAAGCAAAATTTCTTTTCATAAATGTTTAAAATATTTTCTGGTTTCTTTCAGCTTATATGAACATTTATTTTTCAATCTACATTTGAAACAGAAGAGTAGTCAAATAGAACAATTTAAATAAAAATTGGCAACTATACAGCATTGTTTTGTCTACCCTACTACAGCATCAGATCTTTTCAAGTCTGTTTACTTCACAAAAAACTCAAGAGGAAAGAAAAACGCTAAAAATAATCATAGTCCTCAGCCCTCTATGGAAAAGAGGAAAATAAGTTTCATGTCTATTATTGGACATAGACATTTCTCTAGTGGTCCAATTGTGCAGATTCAAACCTAAGCGGCATTAAGCTGCTCCAAATGAGCTCTCAGCTCAGGACACAGTTCAGTTAGCAGCAGTTCCAGCAAAACCTGAAAAACAGAAAAGAGTCAAGATGAGCGCAGGTGCCAAATGAGAACTTCTTCTTCCTTTCTGTCATGCTTAGAGCATCACAGGTAACAGAAGCGTGTAGAGTCATTCTCCTCATCATTCACGCAACTACTTTTCTTTCATCCTGAAGTCAGCACGCACCCTACAGATAACACGGGAAATGCCTTAAGGCTGCAAGAAGGCAAGTGCCACAGGCAGCTGCTTTCAGGTGTTTCCCACCCTGTATAAACTGGTGCTGTTCTGTGGGAGCCACGGTAGCCGCATGAGCAAGCGCCAGGGCAGGCACCTCCCGAGCGGGCTGCCTCCGCTCTTGTGCCGAGGCTGCGTTATGTGCCTGGCTGCTGCAGGAAACAAGCCAGAAGAGACTGACTGAGGGCAAAGCTATTGTACTTGGATCCAGCTGCATACTCCGACCAGTCCCAACCAACAGTAGAGGATAGGGACTTCTGGAGGGCTGTCAGGTCCTAACTGTGAGCCAGTCCTGGAGCTCTCCTTTCCTAGGATTCTCCAAGGTATGTTTGTTTTTCTCAGCTCCACGAAGAAATCAGTTTGCACCTTATGAAGTCAGGCAAGTTGGATGTGGTAGAGGATCTCTTTTAGACAAAAAGCAATACTGTTTTCAAACAGCTTTGTTATTCAAAATTAGTCAAGTGATGGAACCAAGTACATTTTTTCCAACTTACTTTAATAACAAAAAAAGTTAGTGGCACACGGAACAGTAGTCCAACATGCATCTCTGCAAAAGCACCCCCCCACCCCACCCCCAGTCTTTAATACTGAGTGAGCAGAGCTCAGCAATTAACAGGATTATGAAGTTAAAAGGCTACTTTTGTGGTTACTCACATAGAGTAGATGCTTGTTAGCCTTCCTTTCTTGCAAGGCATTGAACACTTTCACTACACCATGACGGGCATTTTGTTGTCCAACAAGACTCTGCAGAGTATCTGCAACAAACGTTACTTCAGCTTATGTTGTTTCACTCACGCTAGGCAAAACCTCCAGCTAACACTGCTGCCCATAAAGGAGGGGAAACCAAACCACTGCACTTCACGGCCCTTGGCTGCAAGGTACACGGTCCTTGCAGCCTTTTAAACACAGAGGTAACTTAGGTCACAGGTTGAAAAGATACCCTTATTCTCAAGTTAATAATAGTGTATACATCTCAATGACAACATTTTTAGTGTTTTAACATGATATATAGTATGCCTTTTAGGTAGTTCACCTCGCAGAGTCAAGTCTAATGTCATACATTATTAAATCATTCACTTAAATCCACCTTCAGCCACACAGAACTCCTGCAACAGTTAAAACAGATTGAGCACTTTAATTGCCTCTCAATCTTCATAGAAAATACTTCCCACAAGTAAGCAGATAACTCTAAGCCAATTATTTACATTTTGGATTAAATTAGAGAATAAATAGTGATCCAATGCTTCATCGTTAATTTAAAGTGCATTCGGCTATGTCCTGACATATCTCTCCAAACTCAGAAACAAACAAAACCACAAATCAACTATGGAAGGCTATTCTAGGTAAGTAGGCGAGCATGTAACAAAGGGAGTAAACAGAGGATTGTTTACACATCAAATGACAAATATTTTGCGTGCATACCTGCTGCTATTTTGGCAGTAAAAGTTGATTAAACAACCTAATGCAAGGGGGTGTGAGATATCTCCGTGAAGCCGTAAAATAGCTCATTAAAGTACATTTCATTCAGATGGAGGGGAGATAAAAGGCATTCATGCTATGTTTAAGCACATTTCCAAAGGCTAAATGGAATGATTTTGGTTCTTCCCAGATAGGTGCCTTTGGGTTTATGTGAGCTCTGAAGATTCAGAATTATGTAACTGGACTCCCTGTCCTGTGAATGGGACGGGATGGAGCATCTCAGAATGGTGCCCCAGAAACGTGCAAGCTGAAGAGGAAGCTGCCTGGGCTTGGGAGGTAAGGGCAGGCAAAGGAAAGTGCTGGAAATCCCACCCAATCTAGGATGCTTCTGTCCAGGCTGCAGGTCCCTCTAACATTCAGTGCCCTGAAACCTCTTACCAGAAACAGACAGCAACACACAACACTGACAGCATGGGTAGACCTCCCTCTTCGATTTTGAAATATAAGAGAAAGAAGTAATCGGGGTGGTGCCACTCTCCCTGTTTTCTGAGTAGTGCCAGGTAGCAGAACCAGCTGGCATTTGCTCACAGAGAACCAGCAGAGAGAGTCGACTTAACTGAGGTTCTGTGATGAATTATGACATACAGAAGTACAGTGATACTGGATTTTGCATCCACAAATAATACCTGAATCCGTGCCCTTTACCAGACTGACAGGAGAGGCAAAGAATAAGGCCAAAGTTATTTGTGCAAATAACCACAATTTACAACTCTACAGGAAAAATCTAAAATGCAGCAGAACACTACTCGATTAACCAGTTTCCTCACTAGCTATTAAATCCATGATTAAGCAGAATGAAAGTGATCTCACCTGGAATGTTTTCAAGTAGTTTTTGCTGTGCTCTCTGTTTTGTCTCTTGCTTTTGTTCGTCACTCTTGGCTCTCGGTGGTGGTGCTAATTTCCCATTTGGCCAAAAAGCATCTCGAAACACACCAATGTAGTAAACAAGCATTGGTTCACTGAACATCCAGTGTACAGTGTCACGGATCTGCCTGTAAAGAAGCATAGAAGGGAGCACATCAGAGCTGGTCTTTCACATTTTATGCAGATTTATTCTTTTTACTCCTTGAAGTAGTGGAAGCGATGCTCGTTTTCATGTAATTATCCCAATTTATCTGAGGTGATTTCACCAACATCACAGCAAGTTGTATTCAGCTCTGGGTACTCTAGGA